ATCACAGATCATTATCAACACTACTAGCAATAACATCAAATTCAACCTAAACTCTTTATTCATGACACTAATAAAAATTAAATAACCAAATATAATTTACCACTTTGTGTATTTGGCCGAAAATCCATCAACTACCAAGTTTCTTACCAAGAAGAGCAAATTATCCTCATTGATGCAAGCATAATTATAAAACCCTATTTCCTCCTTTGATCACACGCAGACAATAATTCTATTCCGTCACTGCCCAATCACTTGCATGTAGAAAGGTTCGAATGTGAACGAATGCCTGCACGGTGCAAGATACGCATTCGGTGCATCTCTTGCACAATGAAGTTATTCATGCATCCGTGCCTTTTCCACATGTGCGGTTGCCAATCCCTTGGCGCTGCAACGGAATGCAGGCGCTGCCTTCCAGCAGAGGCGGTCGGTCCTGCAGCCGCGAAGTTGTGCCTTCCTGCAGCGCCTCCGCCTCGTCTCGCCTCCGTCGCTTCATTTTTAATGCCTGGCTGTCTTCGGCAGAAACCCCGAAACAACTCGATGAGGGCGAAGGCCAATGCTGCCTGTGGGCCGGATCGATGGGCTTGAGGCCCCATCGGCGAGCGCAAGCCATGTTTTGCACCGAAACATCTTTCCTTCCACATGGAAGTGTTTTGTTTACATGCTTAGATTCCACATTGGAGCTTCACCAACACACCTTTTCCTTCACCCGCAATTCCCGATCTTTACGCCGCGGGAGTGCGTTTTCTCGCCCTCCTCGACTCGACAACGATATTAAGATAACTTCTAGTGTGATGCAAGCCGCACAGGACTCGTTTAGCACCAAAAAATGGGACTTACAGCTCTCGACGGACGCGGCATCTCTCCCCTCGGACTCCTCAAAAATAACTATAGACGCGGCGACGTCGGCGGCGGAGGAGGCGGACCGCTCCCTCGGCCCAGCGCAGACAGAAGAGCATCGCCAAAGGGAATTTAGATCTTATGTCAGCTTGACCTGCGCTCGCGAGAGGGATCTGATGCTGTTTCAATCCTTTATATTAGGAAAAGTTTGCAATATTCTCTGTAGTTATGACACACACATAGAGCGCAAATGGGTTCTAGAGTTTATAGAAAATGTCTGAGAAGGGTGGAAGGAAGCGAAGGTTTTTTTCACCGTTAACAAAGGATAGGCGCGATTTAGACGTTCTCCTTCGTAGTGAAATGTAGTTGACTCGTCGAGCAAGTCTCCGTGAAGCCCCGAGTCGGCCCATATTGCTGTAATGGCCGAATCATCAATAATTCAGTGAGAAAAGAGGCAAGGTGCCCGGCGTGTGACGTCACAGAATCCCATTTTTTGTCAAACTTTGGCGGCGACGACGCCTCCGGAGCCCGAGTCGTTTCTTCGGCCCTGCGCTCGCCGTCCGCGTCCGCATGCGATAAAACGTTGAAATGCACATATTACATTGTAGATGTTAATGCGTCGACAGAACAGGTTATTGATCCGCAAGCGAACCCCAATACAGTGAACATTGGAATCCATGGGCGTCGAGAGGCGAAATTTGCTGGAGTCCGATTTTGCACAGGAAACGGCTTCCGCGCATTTTTAGCCAGCTCAAACTAATGTATAACTGTGAAAATCGCAAGAGTTTTTGATATATTGGGCTCCTTTATCGCAAAGCAAATACCCTTAAATCCGGGATGTGACGCAAGTTGCGAAGATCTTGCGAGCGGTACAATCAACTCGGATTGCCTTTACCAATCTCCCTCTCCTCCTCCTTCCTTCTCCGGCCTCTCTCCTCTTACCTACACTCCCCCCCCCTCTCTCTGGCCTCTCTTTCCTCTCATCTACCTTCTACTCCGTCTCTGCACAGTTTATTTTCTCTGTGTCATTCTCCTGCCATTCCTCTTTCTTTTCCGCGATCCTACGCTTCCCGTTATTTGTTACTATTCGCATAAACCTACCCTTCCCAGTCCTATTCATCCTCTCTCTCTCCCTGTCCCTCTCCCTCTCTTTCCCTTCC